GCCTTTGCGTTTTTTCAGTATTAGTTACATGACCATGGGCGTGGCCTGATGACGTCATCACTAGTGTTGCTGATCATGAAAAAGTTAAAACACACGAAATAACTCTGAACTAACTAAAAATGATGAAGTTATATGAAAATAAATTTCCATAGCAACGGCTCGAAAAGATCGGTTAATGGGCCCTTAATCGGACAATTTTTCTATTTTTAGAACAAATTGGGCCATCGCGTGCGGCATACGCGCGTACATACTGCGTGCATGGATTTTGGCGGATGCGGATGTTTTGCGAATTTTTGCAGGGGAAATAAGATCGTGTCGAATTTAGATTTATAACATAGCCTTAGCTTTGTATCACTAACCAAGTTGGGTTAGCGCTGCTTCTTTTACAAGAGTTCCACATTCCTCCACTCTAAATTCGCATAGAATGAAGATCAACAGCTTTTTCATAACAGAGCGAAAAACTAGTTGGATAAATTTGGATTTAGCGGTGTTTTATAACTTCAAAGTTTTTCTCCTCTTACCAGGACGCTTGCGGGGATTTCACCAGTCTATCCACAGGTCACCCAAGCGTAATATAAGAGTTTGTATGGAAAACCGTGACTTAAATATAAGAGTTTTATGGAGATCAGGAGTTGACATTAAATTCGTTCAATGTATGGGTAATTTACCGAATAAAGACTCTACAACATTCAGTGGTGTCATTTTCTCTCATCCTGGAGAGTTGAAACGAGTTTTCGCTAGATTTGAGCGAGTTTTGAAAATTTTGTCCCATAGAGTTAACACTGTGGGACATTCTTAGTCCCTGCCTTATTCAACGCCATCACGGTGAAAAATCCGCTAGAAAATCTCGCACCTCTCACCATTTGATCACGCAACGTGACAACATCCACACGAGAACCCCCGACATGTGCGTGGATCCGCGCGGAAATATAACGTCAGGATGGCGCAATTTGTTCTAAAAATAGCAAAATTGTCCCATATCATAGGTGCACGCGGATCCCAAGACTTACGGTCTCCGTCCCCGATTATGGCTCCT